AAAAAAAAAAAAAAAAAAAACCCAACAACAATCACGAAAAGACAAATGCTGTTTTTCGGACACCTAAATAGAAATAAAGGCCTTGAACATCTAGCCCTCGTTGGCAAACGTGAAAGCAAACGAGGCAGGGGTAGGCCCAGGCCGACATAATTGGAGAGCATAAACAGATGGGTGACACCGAAAGATCAGGGTAATGTAGTTTTTTAAAAGAGAATCCGAGCAATGGAATGAATGGAGAACCACGATCGCCGATGTCTGCCCCAGGTGTGGCACTTGATGATGTATTGGGAATGTTCCTAAAACTGTTTAAAATCAAGTAAAAACACGACTTGCTGCATTGTTCTTTTTTCATTCCTTGATAGGTCAAAAGAGCTTCAAAATATACATTGAAATTATTTTCATCCGGGCTAATTTAAAGAACTCATATTGTGTTAATTGTAGCTATTTTTGCAGCAATGGTAATGACGCTATATTACATAAAAATATTATGGTCGTTTATAAGCGAAAGGAGGCTATCCCGAAAAATGCTGTTTTGAGAAAATCAAAGGTAAAGTTTTTGCCCCTTGTTCAGTTTCTTTGAAAGACGAGGAGAGTTGTTTCTACAACCAAACAAATTATACACACGAAAGAAACCAAAATGCCCACTTTTGGTAAAGGCCAAGATTTCTGCAAACAGCTTGCATGTCCTTAAAAGCGACCATATTTAGTCGAGATACATAGTACACTTTTTGTAAACTAGCTGCCGCTGTCCTTCAGCATGATTTCCCTAGAATAAGGGAAAGAACAACTATAATTTACTACTTTTAATCACCACAACAATTGCGACTAATAGTTTACGACAGTTTTGCTCCCATTTCATATTTGGACCGTATCAGTTAAATACGAATAGATATAAGAATAATGAATACCACCACACTGATCCCTTTGGGTAAATGTGTGGTTATAACACAATATCACAAACTCAGACAACCGATGAAAAATTGCTGGTCGCCCATGTGCAGCCCCTTATTATTGATTTAGAGGTTTCATAGTTGTTCAAGGACACTTACAGTAACTACTGCTTACCGGATTATACTTTTTTTTCTTTCGATACTTCATTCGCCTTTTCTGCGGTTTTTAAAGAAATCCGACTAGGATATAAAAGAAGTTTTTTACCGTCTAGCATAAGGCTTTTGTCAGAATGAGCATAGATGTGTGTTGCTCTTAGAGTATATATCTATATATAACTCCAAAGGACTTGTACTTAAATTCCTGCATGTGGTTGAATGATGCATTTGATGTGAATGTACATTTTATCAGCTTTACTTCTCTTTTCATATTGAATTTTAATGAGAGTAATATTATATTAATTTGTTTTATGTATACCTGCATGCTTTTTTACGGTACTGTACAGTCAAGAAAAATTTCCCTCTGGAATAATAAACCTATCTATCCATCTATCCATCTATCCATCCATCTATCCATCTATCCATATATCTATCCATCAATCAATCCATCCATCCATCCATCTATCCATCCATCCATCCATCCATCCATCCATCTATCCATCTATCTATCTATCTATCTATCTATCTATCTATCTATCTATCTATCTATCTATCTATCTATCTATCTATCTATCTATCTATCTAGCTATCTAGCC